CCCCTTGATATATTCCTCCTTAATTACCTGTATAAAACGGAAACCAGTCTAACGCGGAAATGAAAAGAAAAATCCGCTCCTTTCCGATGGTTTTCCTTGTGTCCAAGACGGAAAATGCTTTGCCCGCTCAGCCCTGATTTGAAACAAAACTCTCAAGTTTGGTTCCGTCCGCCGGGCTGTAAACTTAACGCTATGCTACCAGGCGAGGAAGGGGAGTAGGCTAGGGGTGCAATTTGATGGTAGATGTTACCCCACCAAATCACCCCTTCTCAAGTGAGAAAGCATATCTAACTGTATCTCCTTGTACCCCATCTATGTGAGCCCTGAGCGATGAAGATGGTCAGAATTAATTGTGTGGGTGTGAAATCTCACGAGTGCCAGTGAAAGCGCTCGAGTGGCGCTCCAGTACGGAAACGTTCATTGGTAGTCAGAGGTGTGAAATTAGTTTGACCAGTGCTTGCCGCCCAGATCGTACGGCCAGCCGGGAAAAGAGTTCCTCGAATCGTTGTTACATGGCAGTGAGGGTTGGTATTGGTTGACTGTGCTTGTTACACCGGTGGGAGGGGCTATGGGTGGAAGCAAAGGAGATGTTCAAATGTTACTGTTTTTAATAGGTCAAACAGTGGTCCTATGAAATGCAAGCGCTGGTGGTAGTTGGATAAATAAGACTGACGCATGTCATTATCAGAGAGGATAGCAGCTGAGAGGTGTGAAGTTCTGACCACTTGTGATTGCTTGCCGACCGGACGAGCGATCCTTGATCCCACCGGCTGGGCCTTTGGACCCCCCCCCCCCCCCCCTTCCGTATCTCCCCACTAAATTCCCCTGTCTAAGACGGAAAATGTCTAAGACTAACTCTAAGGCGGAATTTTTTTCTGGCTCCCTTGTGATTCTGTCTTACACAGGTTCGACTGTATTTTTAAAAAAATTGAGATAGAATTTGCTACGAAATTTAAACCTTAATTGTTTTTAATCTGCGTCTGTGATGTAGCGGTTAGGCGGTTTGCTGTCGCACGCAGGAGACCCGAGTTCGATTCTCGAGTAGGGAGAATTTTTAATCAAGTGTCTTCGTCTTTCTGCTGGGACTGGGATGTTATTTCTCTCTCCTCAATCTGGGTTGGCCCTCACAGGCAGGGTCCGGAACCCGCTTCTCTAATGTTCCAAATTGTGTCAATGGGGGTGTAAAATCACCTTCATTATCTTTTTTATTAAAATTTTTTTTTTATTATTAAAAAATAAAAACCCACATTATTTTGAGTAGCTCAGGAAGGTATAAAGAAAGAAAATACTTTTCTTTTTTTTTTTTAAATCAACCCTTGTTTGACCTAATTTGGCTGATACACAATTAGAGTGGGACACAGACTATGAAAAGAAAAATCATGCTATGTTGTTGCTGCTTACCCAGTGTGCTTGGCATGCGTAAGATTGTTATGTTTCCTGAAGTTTATACACATTGAATCAGCGTTACACGCTCTTCTTGCCAAAGAAATTAAATCAAAACAATAAGACAAATTTCCAGTTTCTGTCAGTGCCATTTAATGGTATCGCCCCACCTTATATGAACCTTTTCGTCTCTTTCTCTATTCAGTTGGTAGAATATGGCGACTTTTCACCAATTAAAAACTTTGATGATTTAACCGGTATGAATGAGGATGTTGCTTGAAATATCTCAACTTTTCGGCTTCCT